GGCGCCTGTCTAGTGGCTACCGTTAGTAGAACCACGATATATTAAGTTTCTACCACCGTTCCGGGAGTTCGTGACAGGGCACGGAAAGCAACTTGCGCTTCTGGCAGACGAGGTCAAGCGCCGCTTTGTCTCCCATTCGAGAATCCCACCCTCGACTTGCTTAATCTACACCGCTGGTGTCTTGTTTAACTTGTATCTTTCCTTTCATCGGAACCTACACATTAAGATATCACGGCTTCTATCACATGTACGCAACGTTACTGTATAGTTGGCGGAGGTCTGATTTTCCCCGGATTTGACGGTTTGGCTAAACTTCAAACTGCCAAGGACAACAACCGTACGGCACTTTGATGATGACATTCGACTCTTGTGTAAGAATTCACTTTTGTTTCTGCTTCCCAAACCCACCGCAGCATCGACTACGACCACCACGCTGCAGTCTCAAATCCCCCGCGGGCATAGACAGTTTTCGGTCCATTTGTGCATGCATCCAGGGGTCAATTGCGTGGATATTCGTATTTCAGGTTGGCAGAAATCGTCTAATTCCAACAGAAACCCCAAAGTAAGCCGTCTGTAGAATTCCACACAAATTTCTAGGCCATATTTTTACTAACACTACCAAGGATAGTTTATAGAAGCAAATTTCTGCTTCATTTCGGCGATTTGGGGCCCCTTGGTAGGAGGCAAAGGCGGGCCAACCTTTGGGCCGTAACAACCCTTCGGCTCTACATTTCGCCTCCGTCAAAGATAAGGGAGTTGGAATTCGAGTTCCTAACAACCTGAGCTATGCTCTCCCATTCGTCCTTAGACTCCCTGCGGCTAACTAGGACTTCAGGAACTACAGCCTTAATCGCCGAGATCGCAATCAGGACATGCCGCAATCTATAGGATCGTTGCTGAATGTGAGACAGATCCCCCGGTGAGAGGCGTGGCTTGTACAGGAGTCCACTGTCGCCATTAGTTTGCTTCTTCGCTGTAAGCAACAGACAGCATGCAGCACACGCCATCTCGTAGTTAAGATCTAGGCCGGTGGGAGCATACCGCCACAACGCTACAGCTTACTCCGTTTCTATTTATTCGTTGAAGTCTCCTAGCTACTTTTCACGATCAAGTCACATGATTAATGTCTAGACGCGAGTGAGCGTAGCCTCGAGCAGATTACTATTGTTAGTTTGTTGCAATCTATTGATTGGTTATACTGTTCCGGCTGTTAGCCAGCATGATTACTCGGCTTTCATTGGGTGTAAACGTCTCCATTCCAGAATTACTATCTCAATGTCAGCTTTTGATAAAACAGCCTCCTAGATATCAAGCAGCGGCAAAGGAAGGCGACTCGAAGAGAGTATTGGGCAGAAGAGGCACATTACTAATCATTTATCCATTGTAACAGCACATGGCCAACTTATCCGCGAAGCAAACCGAGCTGTAAATATCTCAAGTCGGTATGCAACCGAGGTCCGGCCATCCGGCAGGCCGGGTAACATGAAACTGGACTCAGCCGACCCCATTTTCCCGACTTGAAGCATAGCGTCATTACGACGACATAAATCTATATTGGGAGGCTGCCGAGATGGGATCTGATGCCACTTTCCTTCCTTGGGAGTCGACCAAGATGCAGGGAAAGGAGCAACTAACATCTTACCTACAGTAGATGGTGGATGACACGTTGTAGTCTCCCTACCATCTGGGCATCTGATAAAAGCTCGCAGACGCGAAGCAATTTCGGCTATCGACAATTGTCCATCTTCCGTCTTGTCATGCGTGGCATGAACCTCGCTTTAAGATAGCCACCGCCAATGAGATTGGTCCCTGGATCAACCCTCTTAGGCGATGAGCATCCCTTCTTGTTCTTCTTCCCCAGCTGACAGTTGATGAGAGCTATCATCTGACAACTTTTGCTATAACCCTGACAGATGAGCGTCTTTCGGCCATACCCCCAATAAGGGTGATTTGGGGTGTACCGCCTCAGACTCTACTCGCCGATAATTAAGTCGGTTGCTACGCAGCAACCAGGACGTGTTTTCAGCGACGAGGTATATTATCATCCCACGCAATCTCCTTCAGCATATACGCGAGATACATGGATATGAGTTCGACTACGAATCCTTACCCTGTTCGAAGAACCTCCAAGCAGGTAATTCTTCTTTGAGGCCGGCAAGTCGAACGACATGGCCTCTAATACTCAAGTACAAACGGCCGGCAACAGAATACGGAGTCGGCCACCTAATTGCGGGGTAAGATAGTCATCTCTCAAGTCTTTTAGATCTGGGGGACTAGCTTCCCCCAACCGGTGTTTATGAGACGGTTGTAGAACGACCGATGAGGATTCAATGTGGCTCAGTTCAGCAGATTCCCCGGTCGTTTTTGTCGACATTTCAAGACTTCAATATTCAGTGTACCCCCCACAAGTACTTCAGGCCTCTCCTTGAGGTCAACGTACTAAAGAGAAGAACCGGTGTGTAATTGGAGAGCCAAAATGTATTAGGAACTAGGGGTGAAGACATTCGCCAAGCTTCACCGCCTCGTCGTTTTGCATCCGTTGCAGAGCGAGCGCACGACTGCGGGCGCTGTGTACCCGTGATGGGGACTATTCGGCTATCCCAAAACGACACATCCGTCACAGCGCCGATTTTCTATTTAGTAGGATTGCGCCGTTCCGTGGTAGCATTACCTGCGGTGTTCGTACTCACCGAACTGCCGTTCGCCCTACTCTTCCTATGATGAAGGATGCACCCATAACGCAGAACTGGTACAGAGCTGCACAGTATTATCAGAGCTATTGAATAGGGCTACAAGTGTGTGCATTCGTGGCCAGTCTAGATGTCCAGGTATCAGTCAATCAGCTTACCTCCGACAACGCAGGCAAAAGACTCTTCGCCACAAGTGCCAACGTGGCGTCCGGTAACACTCTGATTCGTGAGGCGCACTAGATAACGGCCTAAGAGATCCCAAATGTGCTTTGGGGAGTCTCACGGCGTTACCAGCGGTTATAATAGAAATGCATTGAGAAGAGAGGCGAAGAATCAGTTCGATGCGGATAGTAATATGATTATTTTTGAATACTCGACAGGCAGGTGTCTAACGTGCTAGGGGAGATGTAGATGGAACGTAGAGGGCCACGACCCGGGAATCTATATGAAAGATAATAAACAAACTTACATAAGCAATAGGTGAGTACCTATACAAGAGTTATAGAGTTTTGGACAGAGAGATAGAAAGGGGCAAGGAATTATTAGGATAGTCGTGGATGAACCTAAGGGTGTTTGCACTACAACATAGCTGCATACCTAGGCATATAGACTAGCTTAGAAACCGGTCTCTTCAACAACCGATCGGCTGTAAACAGCTGAATCATCGCTCGGTTAGCTCAGCTGGTTAGAGCGTCGTACTAATATCTCCACTGGACATATTGAGTAAATGCGAAGGTCATGAGTTCAATCCTCATACTGAGCACTTCCTTTTTCACTTTTTCCTTGCTAAATTGTCACCTTTTTTCTGTCTTTGTTGAACCGATTGCGATGTGTAAACCCGCAAGCAAGGCTCAATAATTTTAGTAGATTGTCTTTGTTCTATGTAATGATAGCTGTCTGTCCGTATTCAATCTGGACGAAGTTGTGAGCATGTGAACTTCGATCGAGCCGAGCAGATCGGCTTCTGTTCATCAGGGTAATCGCCACTCAGTATTAATTTTTGGCGAATCGGCATCACGATTACTTAATGCTCACCTATATACACTTCGTTCGCCGCAGTCTTGATATCCTGCTTTGGGGGCCGAGGCGCGCCTTTCTTTAATGGCGCTACGTCGCGTCCGTAAAGAGGAGGGTTGGACTGCTGGGCATCGCAAAAACAGCACTTCTATGCCAATTTCGAAGTCCATAAGCACGTTCTAGTCAGCAAACAGGCACACTTGGCTACTTCTAAGTCATCACGAGGCTTGGTGAACCGTCTTGGCTGATAGGCTGTCGGGCGCCTAAGAATCTTGACAAAGGACGCCCGGTTTTTGCGGAGAGTCACGGGGTTTGGGACTTGCAAGAACATATATCATGTGCTGTGCTTATAGGGTGCTACGGATACCGGTTCCCAAAGGTGGCGGAGGCGTTAGTTATTCTTACCCCGTCTAGGCCATTTAGCCAAGACGGCTTGCTAGAGATCATAAGATGCGAGTTTGATCATTCGAGGAAGATGGAGGCTCGTAAGCATTGTATGTGACGGGGTCTCTAAGGAGAAGCGAGGGAGAACAGCTTCTTCGCGGATCGTGGGGCAAGCAACTGTGACTTGGGCCATCGCACCGATAGTTGCCGCTGAGAACGGCTTCTCGACGGCTCCCGCGGAGGCGAATGTGTGAAGGAAGACATGATGGTTGAGAAAGCTGGCGCCTGTTTCGCGAATGCGCATCGCTTACGTCTACTCTCCCTTACCCTTCCCTAATGAGTTGTTGGCCATTTTTTATTATGCACCTGCCGTTCAGGCGACATCTAGCATATACGGGCTCTGGCCACATTAAAAGAAAGTGGAATTGAATATGGCCAGTCAAGGATACTGGGCTAGTACTTATGAACAGTCCAAATATACTAGGATCTTCGTCGTGTTGGAATCTGTCCTACGGTGAAGGGACCTTACCGATTACCTATCAAGGTAGGCGTTGTCCGTCGCGGCAAAACTATATATATTCCTACATACCTTATTAAAGTCTTCTATGAAAAGCTTCTTAAACTGGTCGCAGGATTCTTGCTAAGTTAGAAATAATTATGATTCGGATCCTATCGGCCAGTATAGTATCTCGTTGCGTAGCGACCAGCTCACACTTAAAGGTCCACATACCATACGTTCGAATATTGCCGATTCAGCTCGGAGAGATGAGCTGGCTAAAGCGAGTGTGACCTTTCATGGTACATATTTGGCCTACATGTGGTATAAAAATTAGAGCTAGAACTTCTACTCCATTAGGTAAAAAAAAATTAGTGTATTAACAGCATAATAAAATCGAAAAAAGAAATCGCTGCTCAGTATGAGGATTGAACTCATGACCTTCGCATATACTTTATATGTCCCGAAGAGGAGATATTAGTACGACGCTCTAACCAGCTGAGCTAACCGAGCGATGATTCAGCTGTTTACAGCCAATCGGTTGTTGTTGAGATAGCGGCTAGCTATTGTTGTATATAGAGTTAAATTGGGCCCACTACAATTCTTATTATGTGAATCACAGTAATAGGGTCTCCAAACACATGCTTATAGGGCCATGCTTATGTCGTATCTTTTGCTTCAATTGAGCCTCGATCGTGGAATTCGATCACATGATATTTCCATTCATGAGCATCTGAATATGGCAACAGCTAGGCTCTAACCCCGGTCTCTTCGGGTTCAAATGCGCCCTGAAACAGCAGGCTGAGCAGCGCTCAGGCAGGGGCTGAAATCGGAGGCCTATTCCTCTAACATCCATTTATCAACGCCTCTTTTCATTTTCCCTTGACCTCTGTGGCGTACTCATAGAGCACCCTCGTGCCGGAGCTTGTCCCCATGACGTTAAATAAGCTTAACGCATTATGCGGCTCTTGCGAGCGGATATTCGATGCCGCCGAATATCTGCTTCCCAGAGAGGAAGCTACCGGTAGTCCCAAGTTGATAGATTTCACAGATTCGGGATCGAGATGCCATCTTTGCTCGCTGATATTATATAACAGAAACAGGCACATGTTTTCCTCTCCGGACAACGTGGTTCGTCATGAGAATGCCAAGCTGGGGATTAGGAGGTTCTACCCGGGACATGTCGAGTTGAGCATTAAGGACAATGACAATGTCTATCCTATAATATTTAAGAAGGACTATGGTAAGTAAGGTAGGTTCGAATATCAATGTTCAATCTCAAAGACTTATACAGTATGCGCAGATGATCGTGGGTGGCTACAGTCAACTGTACCCTCAACCACTTGGTCGAATCAAGCCATTGCACAAGCGCGTGCGTGGCTATCTACCTGCCGAAAGACTCATAATAACTGCAAAGGACCCTTGAGCTATAGCAGGCTTCCGTTGCGATTAGTTGGTACCAACCCAGGAGTTGGCCAAGGAAAGACGGCACAGCGATGCGATACTGATGCTTTTCATCAATCATCGACATGCTTGGACGGCAATGTACGCATATGTTACTCAAAGGGTCTCCCGCTAGACACTCCATACTTAACACTGAGCTATCGGTGGCCGGAATCACCGACTCTCCTGCTCAACGACGGAACCATAGAGGAGCTTCTCGTCGGCATTTCCGCTGAAAGGTTGCAAGACCCTAAAGCAGCTACAGTGCGTGATGCTATCCATGTCACGAGGTGTCTAGGGTTTCGATACTTATGGGTCGATGCATTGTGCATAAAGCAAGACGACGAAGCTGAAAAGGCGACCGAGATAGTCCATATGGGCCAGATCTATTCCGCCTCTGTCTTAACTATATCCGCCACCGCAGGGACAAATGGGCTCTTCTTTGACCCGAATCCACTATTCGTAGCTCCGTGTATCCGATACACGAACAACCAGACAGCGGCTGCAATTGCCAGAAAGGGCCGAGAAATTATTGCTGCTTACTACTGCAAGACGCGCAAGTCTGAGGTCTTCCCACACGAGGTGACAGACAATTGGGGCCTTCCAGAGAAGTTCCATCACTTGTACTCCTTATCAGCCCCTGAGTTGGAGGCTCTATGGTATAGGACGATCAATAACTATTCGCAGACCTCTTTGACTTTCCCAGACGACAGACTACGGGCCGTATCGGCTATTTCCAGGGAGTTTTGCGCCCTGCAAAACCTCAGTCCCAAAGAGTTCTGTGCTGGCATGTGGAAATCCGACTTACCAGAGAAACTTCTTTGGTTCGAGTTGCATGAGCAAGATGGGGATAGCTCAGTCAGGGTCAAAGATAAGGAGACTGAATATCTAGCGCCATCATGGTCCTGGGCATCTGTTAAATGCCAGATCTATTTCGGTTCATATGATAAAAGCACAACCGCTGTTTCGGTCATCGAAGTCCGAATTACGCCGAGGTCACAAGACCCCTTTGATATCGCATTGGATGGATATCTACGACTCCAGGGACCTATCCACAAAGTCCACCGGGAATGCCATAACGGTATCTGTTGGGTTAGAGCTGAGGGTAGTGGTATTTGGCACCGCGACCTTGGAAGACACCGGGTCTACAATTTTGATAGATCAGGTTCGCCCACGATATTCATTTCCTGGGATTGGTCTCGAATAAACCCCAATGCTTGGCATGATGACATCGAACCGACGAGGACGCTTTACTTTCTTTATGTCTCAATTTCCGAAAACGGGTATGGTTACGGTAGTGTCGATGGACTTGTCCTAGAGCGCGCTGGGCGTCAAGGCTGCTATGTACGCCGTGGGACTTTCGTGGTTTGCATGTCTATATGTGAGAGGTCTAAGCTACCAGGCATCTTAGGGGGGCGATCCTATGCATTGGGCGAAGACGAATATTTAGATGTCGACGGGAATGAGAATTACATGATTGATATCCTATGATTTACACTAGTATTATAGCCTTTTGCCTCAACTCTACTACTACCCGAATGCCCATCGTTGATTAAACCAAGGACACCAATCTTCTATCCGACTAGTATTTGCCTTGAAGCTCATATGCTCTATAGAAGCCGTTAAGTGTCAATGGACAGTCTTAAGAGATCTCAACAATATGGTTTAGCAATACCAACTAACATATATCGTCCTGATCTTACATCTGAAATGGCTGTAATACATACCCGGACACTGAAGTGTGCCCATTCATAACTACGCCAAGACCACTATGGTCTCCTCTTTACTCAAATTCGAACCATACAAATGTCGTCCCAGAAGGGGGAAATTAAGATAAAAAAAAGAGTCCATTGTCAAGAATATACGGGACCAAGCCTAGCCCATGCCTCGGCCTTCTTTGGCTTCGGCGGCAAGGAGCTACAAGATGGCCACCTCATAAGATAGCCGACTAGCTACCTCCAGCAAGTCGTTGTAGCAGACCAGCCATCAGTCGAGCCTCATAGCCGTCCCTAACTACCTGAAGTACCTCCTAACCGAATGAAACCCTCTCACACACGCGCGCAATGAACCTCCCTATCTCTAGCGTGCCTAAAAATTTGGGCATAGGGAGTAGGTATTTAACTGAGTGACTCCTCGAACTCCGAATCAATTCCTCCCTGAAGCCTTCCCTTCCGTAGCCCCTAATGCGCAAGTGCGGCGTGAACACAGCTGCTTCAATGAACTGATGAATCGACGAATAGTAGAGAATTTGGTATGCGAACCCAGCCCGAGCTGGTCAACGTCTGCAGTACAGTATATGAAAGATGAATCGATGACTGGGAATTGGTAATGTGGAAAGTGGAATGCGGATGACGGGGGAAAAATAAAATAAAGCATCGCAAAAGCTTTAGTAAAGCACGTGAGCAAGTGCTATCGTACATATTAAACGGCCTCCGCATTATCGTCTTCGGGATGACGCCTTACGCCTCTTCGTCTTCGCAGTGCTCTTCTTTGTAGGACTAGCGGCCGTTTCTGCAATCGGTTCCGCAGCCTCGGTGGTGTTGGCTGGTGAGGCCGTGATGCTCTCTTGGTTGATCTCCTTGCCGAGTCCCTTTAACTCGTCATCGTCGATCTCCGAAAGCTCCTCGCTCAAGCTGCGGACAGCATCTCTTCCTTGCCATTGTTCTTGGGTAGCGGAAGTTCCTTCAGGCTCGAAGTCCTGCAGGTACCAAACCACGCCGCCGTCTGTAAGCGGATCGGTGGGCTGGTGTCCCAAGCTACCGTTGGATTGAGGGGGGGTGGGAGGCGTGGGCAGCACTGAAGGCGCCGCGCCGACATAACCGTTCGTTGCTGGTGGAGTATCTACCGCCTGCATACCATCGTCCGGCATTGGTTCTTGCTTGGCCTCGACCAGGGGTATCTCTTGATTAGATAGGTCATTATTGGTTGTTTGAACTCCTTCCATCTCGTCACCGTCAATACCTGATGTATTGACTTCGATATTACCGCTACTGCCGGCAATTTCGTATTGGACACCAGCTTCAGCCATAGGAACATCGCCCGAGGCGTCCCCCGTAATTGCGGAACCATCATCTTGACCTCCAACAGTGATTTCTGGAGCTGATGAGTCGACCATGATGACATCCTGGCTCCGTTCGGATTCCACGTTGCCTTGATTGACAACTTGCTGGCGTAATTCGAGGCTTGCTTCTATCATGGATTCCAGTTCCTGTCTCATAATCTCGAATGGTCTGTGGACGGCTTCTGACTCGAGACGCAATGCGGTCTCTAGTTGTGGTTGAATGGACTTAAGGATCCTTTTACCGAGCTTCTTCCGATCTCGAAAGTCGGAGAAGTCAGACTTAGATACCATCGGAGCAGCAAGGCCAGCTTTCTGTTGCAACTCAGACTGAGGCTTGGGCTCAGTGTTAATACCGGCATTGATGACCTCGCAGAGATCGTGAGTGAAGCTTAGAGTTGTAGTGTAAAATCGTTCGTCGATTCTATTTGATAGTCTCAAGAGTCCTTCGTGGAATAGGTTCTTATCTAGCCTAATGATCGTTGAATCATTAGCGCACTGAAAGGATTATAGGTACCTGTTAACTTACGCAATGGCTTTCTCCACGATAGGCGGAAGCATCTTATGAATAGGAAAATAACAAGTGTCGACGAATTCCTGTTCCATTTCGGCCGCCTCGAGCTTGCTTTGCTCTCTCTGGACTATCGTCTCTGATATGACTTTGATCTGCTCCAGATCCTCAATAAGAGCTTGGGCAAAATCAATCCTCCGTGAAAGACGAGCCTTGCCCGAAGGACCCATGGCCGCAAAGTTACGTCGTGTAAGCTCCATAGAGGAGAATGTCTCCATCTGTAACTGTAGACGTTTGAGAAGTGCGGCGCCGCGGCGCATTTCTCGCTTCAATGTCCAATATCGACATGCATCGCTGACAAACTCCTTGCGCTTAAGAAAATTGAAGCGTTGTAGAGATGCCTCGACGATCTCAAAGACTGCTTGTGGTATCACGGGAGCTCCAGATGGTAGCTTCCATATCGACTTTCCTGCCTGTCCTTTCTTATCTCCAAGGACAGCG